CACAGCTCTTTGGCTGAAAGGAAGGTAGGTTGACCAACTGTAAATGGAGGTGTTCACTACTCAAAATAGTTGGTCACTGTGACTTTTTAAGTCTTAAGGAGGTGATTTTCATTATATTCCTGAAAAGATCAGTTTAAAAGTAACAATATTTTAATTAATGCAGCATAATTGCTGAATGCCACTCTGGGTCAGTTTGGTGGAGAGTATTATTTTAGAAGCCCTTAGCAGTTGCAAAAGCATTTTAAATAAATCCTTAACTCAATCAGTGTCATTAAGGCTCTTGCATGTTTGAAGTGAATTAAGTTCAATTTGTTGTTAGATCAAATATTTGCCCTACTGTATAAATTTATCTTACTGGATACTTAAGCTTTGACTTTTCTTCCTGTCTCAGGCTTGTGATCCAATCAGCCTCATAATTTTTTTTCTGCAATTTCAGTTGTGTGGTGCAAGGATGTCAGATGGTTTGGGGTTTTCAATTCTAACACCAGTTGCAAACAGGCAGAGATTTCTTGCCAGACCACAGGAGTTAGTGGTGTGCTGATACCTGAGGCTAAAGGGGTTACAGCTGAAAGTCACATACTGAGCCACACAAAACCAAGAACAAAATCCATTGATTTTTATTATCCTGGGATTAAGTGAATGCATTTGAAAAACCCCAAACTTTATCTTAATCCCCTCAGATGTTGCAGTTATTTTTGTTAAGTGTTTAATCTTGAGGGCATCTGTTAAAACATCCAGCAGAAAGAGAGGTCTTCTGCTAGAACCAATGGCAGGAAGTTCCATATGTTAATTCTGATTTCATTAGGAAAAAATATTTAGGTTTCATTGGTTTGCCTGTTGTTTTTGAGAAATAAAATGGTGAAAATACATTTTTCTTTTTATTCTGTGTCTGTCCATCATCTTGTAGAACTTATTATCTTGCTTGGTTTTTTCTGTAGCGTTAGCAATTTCTTTTTCTTCAGCCTATGTATGGATGTTTCCATTCTTCTTACCTCTTTCAGAATATTTTCTCTTTCCTCTGTGCTGAATGTGTCATGATGAAAAGGACATGGTATTCAGCACAGGGATCTTCCTGGCTTAGCACAGCTTGGTTTTCCATGCCAGTAGTTGTGTTCAGTATTGGATTTTAAGGCACATGTATTAAAAGAATGTGTGGGTTAAAGTCTTGCTCAAATATGCACACCAAAAGAAAAGACACCAGAAATTTGGACTCTGCTCTTTATCTCCTGTACAGAAAGGCATAAAAGTGAACTTGATCCCTTCTGTCATCATTTTAAATTTTTCTAGGAGTGCTATGCAAAGCTGGCATAAAGTTATGTAAAAGTGATGTCTGTACATATTTTTACTATTTTTCTTTACTGAAATTTCTTATCCTCTAATTAGCTGACAGGATTGATCATTTGATAAAAAGCACTGCTCTGATGCCATGAAACCAAAACAGTAACAATTCTTACACAGGGATTTCACAACAACTTCAAATCTGTTTCTACCATGAGATGTGAGGTAATCCAAAGACATTTCTTTCTTGATGAATAACAGAAGTCCAAAAGCTTTTTCTTAATTTATAAGATACATTACACAGAAATCTTCCTTGTGCTGCTTCAATTATCTTTTATCTTGATTATGGTTGACATTTTTAGGGTATAAGGCACTGTAGTTAGGAGGATAATTTTCAAATCTCCATGAGGTGCTGCAGTTTGGCTCTGAATTATATGAGAGGCAGTTTGAAGTCAGAGCACTTTATTATTTTTCCACTGCAGCTACCAGATACCTCACACAGCCTGATGAGTGCAATGAAGCTTTGAAAAATCAAACAGTGAAGATGGAAACATTGCAATACTTTAAAAAGGGAAGAGTGGGAACAGGTTGTCAATCCACCTTCTTTATTTTTCCTGTAAACTCATAAAACATTGAATATAGTACAAAATATTGCAAACCTTATTTTGCTGGAAGAATGTGGGCAAGGGAAGGGTTGCATCACTTGAATAAATCCACTTGATTGTGTGCCTGTCATAGAAGAGCTCTTACCCAAGCACCCCTTAGCACATTTAGTACTCAGACACAGAGATTTGGATTTATTTGAACCCTGAGTATCTTATTCTGCTAAGTCTTCACAATTTTTATGCACATTTAAACTTCAACAACCTCCCCATATGCAGATTAGCTAATACATAAAATTCTTTACTTGGAATACCTTATCTGGCTGCTCTGTTTACTAAAATTCAAGGTAGGAAAAAGAATGTAATATCTTCCACAATGTATTTTTTACTTTCCAAATCTATTCATCGAATGCAGCTCTTCCTAGTTTAAAAGGAAGAAGAGCAAGCTACAGTTTCAGAAATAATTTTTACCTTTAGGCAAACCTCCTATAACTCCTGCCAGAATTAAATTAAGATCTATACTTTCTTCTAACATCTTTCCAGCTCATCTTTTGGTCAAGTATATACTGTAATAGAATGTGAAACAGAAGATGAAAGCAAATATTTTTCCCAATTCTCTCTTTTCATAATGTGAGAAATTGCTTTCTAGTATCATGGTAAAAATACATAACATTTATTCCAATATCTTCCAGTGTAGAAAACCCATCTATGAATGTCTACTAAATTTTGTTAACAGTTTACATTTCAGTCTAAATAGCTTACTGATCCCCTGTTCAGTACATCTTTTCAGTTTTAATAGGGTTTAAGAGTCTGTTAAAGATAGGGATGGGGAGCAAAAATGTTATGGTTTGATATTGGCACAATGTTAGTGCTTTTATGAAAATGTAATTTTTTAATTGAATATTGTGAAATGTGATTGAGAATAGAGTAAAAGTAGGTTTAAGTTTAATAATAAGGGAAAAGACTTTATTAAGCTACTACTACTATACTACTATAAAAGAAAATAAGAAAGGAAAAAAACCATAAATTTTAAAATGAAAACCTTCTAAAGCATTCTAAAGCATTCTAAAGCATAGATATAAAGCATATAGCTCTCTGCCCAAGCTCCAGCTGCCACAAATAACTAAACACCTTACAGCCCCCCCACCACTCTTCTCCTTCTCTGCAACATACTGCTAACAAAATTACTACTATTTCTTTCACTTTCTCAAAAAAAAAAAACTCTAAAAAAAAACAAAAACCAAAAAAATCGTAAATTTTTCTACCCTTCTATTTACAAAAAGTTCCAGCCCCCTCCACCCTTAAGCCTACCTCAATCAAGCCTTCCCCTCACCCACGCAGCCACCTAACCAAAGGTCTTACACTACACACTAATCAAAACTAAAAAAAAGCAAGTTTTCCTAAAAATTCTACTTTTAACTCCTCTATATTCTCAAAAGCGTATCTACCTTCAATTAGTCAATATCCAATGCCATCCTGCTTGTTTTTCTCTCTTCAGCTCACATTGTTTCTGCTCCAGGGCCTGAAATTTGGATCATTTGTCCTTGGTCCCCTACTAAAGAAGGAATTGTTTTGTCTTCCTGCTCTGTGAGGAGAGTTTACCATTCCCTAATACAATGCTCAGACTGAAGCAGTACAGAATCTAAAAAATATAAAAGCTAAAACATGAGGCATCAGGGGACCTCGTCACTCTCCACAATTACCTGAAAGGAGGGTGTAGCAAAGGGAGATCCGTCTCTTTTCCCAAGGAGCAAATGGTGAGACAAGAGAAAATGGCCTCAAGTTGTGCCAGGGAGGTTTAGGATGGATTCTAGGAGCAATTCCTTCACAGAAAGGGTTGTCAAGCACTGGAACAGGCTGCCCGTGGCAGTGGTGGAGTCACCACCTCTGGGGGTATTTAAAAGATGTGTAGATGTGGCAGTGGGGAATGTGCTTTAGTGATGGGCCTGGCAGTGCTGGGTTAACTCAGTGCTTTTAGAATCATAGAATGGTTTGGGTTGGAAGGAACCCTAAAGACTTCAAGGGTGTTTTACAACCAAGTGATTCTGTGATTCTGTCGCTCTACTTGTCAGCGTTCAGGAACACACATAACCACAGGATATGATTATATGCAGGTGCTTTTATTGAGAGCTCTGGGAATCAGGGGTCCAGACCCAAATCTGACTCTGACATGGTTTTTGAGCTGAACGTGTTTTATATTCTATCCTTATATAACTTACATACTTAAGCTGAACGTATTTTATATTCTATCGTTATATAACTTACGTATTAATTACTAAACTTATATTCTATTGCATACATTGACTTTATTCAAGCATGAGTTTCTCGTGATCTTTCTCAAGCCCCTGACCACAGTTTCTCATTATTATTCTTATGATTAAACAGTAATTATATTTAATTACTAAACAATCATCACATCCAACAATTATATAATTTTTCATATACTAGCTACACAGGTGCAGTTCTAGCAAGTACAAGGTCTACACTTTCCCAGGGTATTTTCCCAGGGCCTACTAAGCTTAATTTTCCTTCTAACCCCCAAATCCCCATGATTTTAAAACCCTTTTACTATCACACTTACAGCAAGATGTGTTTCACTTTGGGGTGAGGGAACAGGAATTGTGCTATCGATGACAGAGGAACACAGAGCAACTTAAGCACATGATAAAGACTGATGCCATGGAACAATATTTTTATTATTGGCTGGCTAAATAACTTCCTGATCAGCATTTAAACACATGAATAAAGAGCCTGATTCACAGAAGTATTTCACAGCAATAGCTCTAACAACTCTCAAAACCTAAGCAATGGAACTCTTTATCTCATGCCCTCTAACTGAACCATTCAGTTTCTGAAATGAAGACAGGAGTGAGAGAAATAAAGCTTATATCAAAGCACCAAGGCTTCAGTTTGTTGTAAATTAGCATCTTTCGCTTAGCTGATGGCACTGGAAGCAAGCTGTGGAAATCCTTTTTTTTTTTACAAAAGATGCCATAAAACTGTGATATGTGATTTTCTACTGCCAATTATTGTAAAAGCAAAATGCAACATTTTATGCTGGAGCCACTGCTTAATGCTGTTCTCTTTTTTCTTTTTTTTTTTTTTTTCCCTTCAAATCAGATATTTATCTTTGAGAATAACATCTATTACTGTGCCCATGTGGGGAAACAAGCCATCCGAGTGGTCTCCACAGGAAAGGAAGGTGTTATTTTCAATGGCCTCAGCGACTGGCTGTATGAAGGTAGGACACAACATTTAGGCCAGCAGTTAGTTATGAGTTTAAGTTACACTCTAGAATCACAGGCCTTGCTGGGATTAGACATCCAGCAGTGCATTTCTGGATCACAGAGCTGAAAACCTGCTATTCTAACAGTTGCCTGATATGCTGGACTGGAAATGATGTGAAATGGTGTAAGAATTCTGTTTTCAGGCTGTTTTCTTTCCCTGAGTCCAAAGGTAATAAATCACTGGGCTTTAATGAACAGAACTGCTTCATTATTTAATGGCACCTTCAATCACTCATGGACATGCCTGTTTTCAAATCACTGGCAGAAAAGGACAGAAGTGGGGAGGGAAAGGGGTTCTATCTTAAAGGAGAAAGCGAGGAAACAATTTTACTTGATTAGCTGTTTTCCACAGAGCTAGGTGGGCCTTGGAAGCTGCCCAGACCTTGACACCTAAAAAAATTTCTAAAAGCAGACCCCAGTAATTGGCTTCTTTCCTGTGAAAATGGGCCTGACAGGGTGGAGGGTCATCTCTGGAGCACTGTTTTCTTTGATCCTTTCAGCTGGCAAATGGCATTTCGGTGTCTGTGAGCAGCTGCTTGAAAAGTGATCTCAACTGCTCGTTAGCTTAGGAGAGGATCCTCACCACCCCCAGTTCTTTTGGGCATTGTAGGCTTTTAAACTAATATATCAGAATAAAAATTTAAAAAAACACACATGATATATATGCATATGTGTTTGTACATGTATAACAGGTATGTATCATGCATCCCTCTCTCTGCTGCTCACTAATAATGCTGCCAGCAGTTCCTTCTCACGGGGATCCTGGCTTTTGGACCTGGCAGTGTCTCTTTCCTGTGACACAACTTCCCTCTAAAGTCACACTTTCTCCTACAGATCCCAGCATAGGCCCAAGGCTTTCTTACTTCTACAGAGAGAAAGTTTCCAGATCCATCTATGAACCATGTCCTGTTGGCTTCTCCCAATTCTCTTGAGGCTTAATATAACAGACTAGGTTACAAAATGCCATTAACAGTTAATTGGTGTAAAAATAGGTGTCACTACTTAAATTGGTCTGTATCACAGCTAGGTGGGGGCCCTTAGACTCAGAAATGAGGGAATTAAAATAAATTAGTTTGTTTGCCCCTCCTAAAAATGCTGATCCCATAAATCAGTGTGCAAACTCATCAAACACATCAGTGGAAAAATCTGATAGGGGTTTATTATTTTTCATATTTAAATACGTGTTTCTACTGTAATACAGCATATTTGCAAATGTCCTCCTTGTGCTGTGCAAGCACTTTGTAACCAGAGAAGTGGCTAAGGAGTTACAAAATGCTAATTTTCCTCCACTTTAATCATTAATTTGCTGGTGAAGTTGTGGACAGGCTGTTTGACTCTGGAGGTCAAATGTGCCTACTACTACTACCCATATTTGTCTGATAAACATCATTTAGTACATCAGGTCTCCTTGCAGAGTCTCACACACAGCACCACACTGAGAGGAGTTTGTCAAGCCCATGAACTCAGAGCACACCAGCAAGCTCAGGATGACACTTGTTTTGCTGACACCTATTTTTATTCAATTACAGGATTGCTCAGGCAATTTCTTGGCTGACATTGACTTTCAGGTTTGCCCTCTATAATGAATTTTCTTGTTAACTTTATGTTAATGTGATAGGGTAAGAAATGAATGTGTGATCTAGTACAGTCTGGTTATGCCAAGCCAGGTTCTGTAACCTGTGAGGAGGCATGAGGCAGATTAGGACTGTTGAACTTGTTGTTCACTGGGGTTATGTTCGAAAGAAATTAGGATTTGGAAATGTCACTTTATGTCCTAATACAGTTTATATTGAACTAAATAATTCTCTTTTTTCAAAAGTAAGGTGTAGAACGTCCCACAGGAAAACCTGATTTAAATGGTCCCAACTAATGGGAAACCCAAATCAAATCCAGAGCTGAGCTGTGTGAGCTGAGCTCCTTCTCTTGTCTTCACTTGTACAATCCTCATGGAGGGAAACCTGGAACTAGTGTTGGGACTGAGGACTTGTGCTTGAACAAGCTGTGGGGCCATGGTGGTTTTCGGTCTGCAGTGCTCAGACACCAGCATGGATGGATGGATGGAGCAGGATCCAGAAGAAGCTGGATATTCCATGGGGATAAATGGATAAGGACAACTGAGAAATGAGAGACACCTCCCCAGTGGGATCCAAGAGAATCGAGTTATGGTTGCCAGTGAGCTTTAACTTGGGATACTCTGCCAACACATCACCACCTTTGTTTTTCCAAAGTCTTTCCTTTTCTTGGATGCCACCTCTTCAGTGGGATAAACTTGGACCACATCTTAAATCCAGACTTACCTGACTGGAAACGCTTGAAAATTTGGCAAAGACTGAACTGTGCCACCTCAAGACCACTTTTGTTCTTCACCCATTCCTGCTGTGGTTTGTAGCTGTTCCTTCCCCACCTCCCAGCCGAGCTGGGTGGGATGCTCAGGCCCGTGTTTGTTTGCACTGCTGCCGCCTCAGCGAGCTACCAGGATGAGAGCTGAGCATATGCAGAAATCTCCCTCCATCTGTGCAGCCAGCTCCAGCAGACAGTCTGCAGAGGAGCTGCGAGAATCAGGATCACAGAGAGTTCAGCACACTCCTCTTCCCTTCCATGCTCTTTTTGTTGCTGAAGTTCTGTGACCCCTGGCATCATGAGCCTCCTCGTGGTGCCCGCTGGGTTTCTGTGACACCTCACAACCTGCTTCTCACTTTGCCTAAATGCAGCACAGAAAATAAAACTCGGTGTTTTCTATTTGAGGAAGATGAGTTTTAACGAGTTTTATCTACATAGCAAGAGCACACCAGCAGCAATCCCCCCTCCCCTCTGTGAGAGCTGTTTGCACAGCGGGTTCTGCAGATGGCACCCCAGCAGTGCCACCCTTTGGGGTGACTCCTGACACCCCACATGCACGGCACACCCCGGGGGACACTTGTCTTCACAATGTCATCACTCTTGTCACGACACAATAGATGTGCTGCACTATTAATCACAGGTTTTCCCTGAGTCCACAAGCAAGGCAGATCGAGAGTAAATTTGACAGGCTTTTTGCCCCAGAAAAATTCAGGAGTTCATTGCAATTCAAGTTAAGCTCTGCTTTTGTAAATCTGCCAAAGGAGAAAAAATTTCTTCGAGGTATTTATGCTGATCTGTAGACTTTTGATAATATAGTGAAAAACATTTCAAATCAATCAGAGCTTAATCTACTTAGTGCATTTAGCTGGAAGGTTATAGATTGATACATAGATTACTGTAACATGAAAGCATAGATTAAGCATGGGGTTTATTACTAAAATAAGCATTGACAATGTTTTCATAGTCTAACTTAACATTTCAGAGTTGTGCCTGATAAATGCTTGTACTAAAATCGAGTGATATCCTATAAAACAGAGTTTAAAGTTCTGCCACTGAAATCAGCTACACATTTAAATGCATAGCAGCAGCAAAGAGTGGTTTTTATTTCATTGTTGGTTTGAGAATATATTTTAGCAATGATAAGTCTTAGAGATAATTTTAAAGCAAGTGCTGGCGTAGCAAAAAGGACTTCCAAAGCAATAAGAGAAGAGTATTTATATGTTCTGTATATAAGTAGTAATATCTTAAAAATAACGTGCATTTAAAAAGTAAATTGCAGGTAAAATTAATTTCATTTATATGCTTTTTTTAGAGCACTCTTCCACAGAAGTTAATTCTGTCATGGTGTAATTAAAGTGTCTTAATTTGCTACCAAGCACTTGGAAAGTCTGTTCAGCTGTTGTGAGGAAGGGTGGCAGCAAGGCACTCTGGTGGAGGTCACCCCCATGATTCTGTTAAGTGACAAAAGAAGGTTGAGATGTCCCTGTGCTGCAGTTTGGAAATTTGTTGATTTTGGGATTATGTGGTGCTGAATCCTGGGGAATGGGACAGGAGGACTTCCCTCCATCCTGGCATGTTGCTGCTGGACCAGGAGCAGCCCAGCAGGGTAAGTCAGGGTCCCTGCAGCAGGACAGGGACCTGCTCTGGGCTGCACTGCTAGAAAGTCCTGGTGTGGTCTTCTTGAGCAAACTGTGTTCACAGATAAAGCTGGATAACTTCTGGTGTTGTGCTCTAAGTGCATGCTTGGAAATCAAGGATGTGACACAGTGGTGTGTGCTTCTGTCACTGCTGGGAGGGGAAGGAAGGATTTTCACCTATAGATGGTCCTATGGCATGCATAAAGGGTGACATGAGGAGTTTGCTGCACGTGTCCTCAGATATTACAGTAGAAACAAGGAGAACAAAGGAACAATTTTGCATCTTGCCATGTGGGACATACCTGTGGCTATTAGGGACTTTGCTAGGAATAGCATGTGAGCTAAAAAGTAAGGAGTGAGTTTAAAAAGTAAGAATTGCATGTGAGTTACTCTCTTATCTCGTGCCACTGTCAGAGGATCAGAGGTAGTCTCTAAATTCGGAAGTCTTTAAATCTCAAGATATTCTCAAATTGAGAATCTCCATTCCAGACTTTGTCCTGACACCATGGTTGGGATGTCTCATCTGCACACCTCCTCATCCTCAGACATCAAGAGGGAACCACTCCTGGCATCCAAGCCCCAGCCCCAACTCCCACAAGACACATTTAAATCTCCAGAGTAGTATGAGCTTTACACAGTCATCCTTTAAAGCTGATGCTCTGCTTTGTTGAGCTTAACACACAGTGCTGTTCTGTGTTTCCCTTTTGGCTAGGAACCAGGAGGAGGAGGGGAAAAAAGCCTCTTTTTCAGAGATGACTCCTATGCCTTATTAATCTTCATTTTTGTCTGCGTTTTGTGTGATCACCAACAGATCCTCTTGTGTGACTTCGCAGTGACACCTGGTGGGAGAGGCCAGGATGCCATCGTCATTAAGACAATGAAACTGCAGATTTTTTTTTTGCTGCAAGATCTAGGAAAGGCTCCCAATTTCCCCTCACATGTATTTCCCTGAAACTCTCTCTGAGCTTATGGGAACT